AACCAAAGACCAACGCTGGTAGAATTCCAAAACCCTAGATAAAGGGATGCCCTGGTAAGAAGTACAGACCACAGACAGATCTTGACACCCGGAGAGATCACCGTAGACCCTAATTACGTGAATAGCTGGAAGATTGTAGCTTCTTTGCGACAACCCTCATTAGGTAGAGCCAGGAGAGTGATCGTAAGGGTGTAACCTTCTACTCCAAATGATTCGCCGAGCACTAATACCCGAACAACCGTGTCCTCCTTGAATAAATCAGCATCTTTACTAGGTCATTCTGACACTGAAACAGCCACGCCGAATGTAGTCCCTTCTCCTGCTGTAAAATCAGTTTGCGGGAGTCAACAAAGGAAGGACCCTGCCACATAGATAAATAAGCTCTGCGTGTACCCGGGGAAAAGCCTCAGGTGCAGTCTTTTACCACTGAGAGAACACGCGGCGCAGACATTGGATGTAATCTAAACCAATACCTGTGACCTAAGGAACAACTAGTCCNGCACACTGGCGCAAGAAGAGACGAATATGTCTCCCGAATAGACCAGTGAGCAACACGTAGCCGAGATTGTATCCCAAAACGTCAATAAAACGAACAAACCATCAAATTTTTACGGTAATGGATTATTGAACGATCAAATGAGCAAATAAAATCTGTACAAACCTCAAAAGTGATCTCAAAACAACCTGAAAACCATAGCCAATTGTTACTGTGAGCGCAATTCAAGGAATCTGAACGAAAGACATGAGTCTGGACAAGAATAGCGAGCCCACCGTCATGCTGCATCCGAACGAGTCAAATGTGAGCGCTCGGTTTGCGATTAAAACAAATAGGGCCCGGGCGAAGCACAAACAAACAATGTCCAGTAATGGTAATGATGTGTAATTATACACTGGAGATGTAACGTCAAATGTTTATGCATGCGTGAGGTGGATGGTGTTGAGCGAATGAAAAGTGAAATTCACAAAATTTGAATCACAGGTGGTTTGTCTGGGTTTTTCAGGAAGGATTCTCACAGATTGATCAATATAGCACCCGGAAAACCCTTCCTCGCGTCATACGGTCTAAGGGAAATTTGCGAAAGTACCAATTTTCATCTTAACTACCTAACTCCTAGACATGTGTCATTCTATTGTGTTCCTCGTCGTCCCCTCTGTCTCTGGCAGTTCAGAAGGTTAACTACAAGCCGTTTTCAAGGACTCACAGTACCTCCCTTACTAACCCGGAGGTTTCCTCAGCTGCAGGTGTTCCCGGTCTGCTCCACCTCTTCTCTCTCTAGGAAGCAGATTCGGCGGATATCTCGCAAGGTTTCACTAGTCGCTATCTTTGCTTTAACCGTACGTACGGGTCCGATTTCGTCCGAGTGGCATTCTTTAATGACTCTCAGACTCCAGTCATCTCTTCGTTAACGTTATTCTGAAAGCAGCACTATGTCCTCTACTCGAAAGTTTCTTCCCCCAAGTATCAATTTTTATCGTACCTGTAGGGTAGGCAAATAATCTCGGACCCACCGCTTCCAGGAAGCTCCAGCCAAGTAGGTCGCCTGTTTCCAGCCGGTCAAATACTACTTTGTGATTCTTTGAGGCACGACTAGTCCGTAATTTTGTCTCAAACGTATTAGGTCGTTTGGCGTGAGTGCGAGACCCCGGGCTTCATTCACAACTGGCGTCAGGATCCTGTTGTTCAGTATCTGCTCCACCTCGATCAGCGCTGTACCCAAGGTTTCATCATCGGTGGCCTGTTGATTGCCAATAGTATCCTTTTCACCGATTTTGTCATACATTCCCACACCTCTCCCCTATGGCTGGCCTACGGCGGGTTAAAGTGCCAACGAATACGTTGAGAGGCCAATCGTTTGTATAGTTCACTCTGCTTAACGCGCGATTGCCACCTTTGCAGCTCGTTGAATGCACCAACGAGGTTGGAACCATTCTTGGAGTAGATATTGGTCGGGACCCCGCGTCTGCTGATCAAAATTTGAAGCACCATTAGGAAAGATTCAGTAGACATGTTATGCACCATCTCCAAATGCACTGCGCGAGATTGCATGCAAGTAAATAGGCACCTGTATCGCTTTGCAACCGATCGCCCAAACCTCACTAATAGGGTCCCGAAGTAGTCCACTCCCGTCTCCGCAAACGGCCACCAACCCGATCGGGCCCTGAATTCCGGTAGAGAGGCCATCAGTTGCTTTCTGGCTATCGCATTTTGTCGACAGCAAAACACATATCCGCCGATGGTCCCCTTTATTGCGGTCCTACATCGTGTTACAAAAATGTTCGGATAGCGTGCAATAGATGTTTGGTGTCCGCCTGCTCGCTTTGTACGTGGAGGTGGCCTATGAGTAAAATAGTGACATGTTTGCAGGCCGGCAGGATGATCGGATGTTTAGTTCCGAATGCCAAGAAAGAGTTGCCTAATCTCCATCCCACGCGTAGCAACCCATCGACCAGTATGAGGCTTAGTCTACACAGAGAGCTCCGTTGGATCGAAGTTTTATTTAGGTTCGTTCGTGTACTCTATTTCAACGCCGTCGTTTCTAGGGGGAAGTACTGTTGTTGCACTAGTTTCATGACGTCGTTTTCTGCTGTCATTAGGTCATCGGTCGATAAGGGTCCCAAAGTGAACGATTCGTTAGGCCGAGATCCAATCATGATCATCATCATGTGTTGAACCTTGTCCACCAAGCGAATGAACGAATCAGTTTGTCCTATGTCGAGAAGCATTTCAGTCTCCTTGGCGGGTGGGACGTGACGACGCACTCCGCCGTCATTATCACTCTTTTGGCCTCTATCAACTCAACGGGTGCGGGCGACGCAAGCAGTTCACTCTTGTCCTTTGACGCAGCGGTCAGAAATGCCGGATCATGGAGCCAATCGAGTAGTTTCTCCAATGATTTCAAGCCCCAAGAGCAGTGGTCGGCAGGATTATCTGCAGATTTCGCCATTAGTGCACTTTGGTATCCTCGTGTACTACCGTCAACCGATTGGAAACGAAGGTGCTAAACCTATTACCGACATCGTTCACTTGGTGTATCACAACGGCAGAGTAGGTTCAGAACGTGACGCGTTCTTCAAATATCCTGAAACATTATCACATTTGCTTTGCCATACGTACAGATAGCACTGCCGCGGTCAGCTCTAGGTGGGTTATCGATATGTATTTCAATGGTGTCCGTGCCTTGGCAAAAAGTAGTTCCGTCGTGCGCTCACCGTTCACATGCAGCCAGCATACGTAGGCTACTGCCCCGTATCTCATCTCGGACCAGTCGAAGAATAGGTGCAGTTCGGCCTTCGTCGCTTGACTGCTTCGGCTGAGTCGGAGCGGAATCTGTATCTCACTCAGTCTGTCTAGGCTTGTTAACCACTGTTCCCAATCTGCATGGTCCTGCTCGCCCAAAGGGTGATCCCACTCCGCCCTTTTTCTACAAGGCGGTTGTAGGAGGTTCTTCACCGGGGGTAGGCACGGCGTGACGAACCCAAGCGGGTCATACAAACTGCAGACCGACGATAGCGGCCCTCGCCGGGGGGGGGAATTCTTCTGGGGTAGCCGAAGCTGAAAGATGAACTCGTCTGACTCTGCTCGCCAACGTTTACCCAATGTTGGCCTAGTAGAGGGTGGCTGTGTTGCCGGGTTGAGAGCCCCATTCGCTCTGTCGACCTCGGGAACGCTGTCTGAAACTACACGCGAATGTGACAATTATTCGGTCAGGCGAAACCCTCACTTTTCCAGTAGGGTTTTTAGTTGCACTATGTGTTGAGAAGCTTCTTTTGCGTCTTCGAAAGTGCTCAGTCATCGACGTTGGCGCTATTCCCAACGCTAGCTGACATCGAGGTGGGTAAACCGGTTTCGTAATGCGAAGCTGTTCATCAGAGTGCATAAATTGCTTAGAAAGGCGAGAATACTGCTCCGAATAATTTACAATAATGATAATGATGTATATTTCACGAAGCCGGTGAAGCATGCACAAAACATGGTCATATGAGTAAACGGTCAGTTGATAGTCTACTGCCGAACTCTGTACTTCGTCTTCAGGCCTCCATTGTAGTCAAAAAGTCGTCGCAATGATCCTCGGTATCTTAACTTGGAGTGACATTTATTGTATGTCGGCGGCCACTACAAATGCTCCTAGCCAGAATCGGTTAAGTACTTCGATCAATGGAGTGGTTCAATCTGGTCCCTGTGGTAGGCAGAGATTGAGAGAGAGACTGCCGTATCGCGCCGCACAATCAAATACCACGTGTATCTTCCTTGGCTTTCTAGCGTTTGTTACCGGGTGGTGTGACAAGTACCACAGTCGCTCCTCGCGTGGGTTCGACGCGTCCACTCCCTCTATATGTCCCAGCTGTTCGTTGCGTTGCGCTGCTGCGGTGTACTGCCGATATAGTTCTGCTAACCAGACTAATCGCCGTTCAAGATATTCCAGTCTTTTCAAGGCTATCTAATGGTTGTTCGGCAATCGGGCATATACCGTTCTCCATGGCAATAGCATCTGGAACCCGTCGGGCTGATACCGTTTCCCCCTTTCGACTATTGCTCATGCCTGATTATTTTCTACAGAGGTGCAGCCACGGCGTGACGAACCCAAGCCGGTCATACAAACTGGAGACGGGCGATAGCGGCCGATCGATCAGTGCAACGCTGCTGTTCACACACTTTTCGAATATGGCACTTGGCATTACGAAAGCGGCAATTGTTGCGCAGATGGTAGGTTCCACATGACGAACAATGGGTGATACGTTTATCATTGAGAGACGGGTCTGGCTCCGGCTTCGGTGTACACTTGGCTACTGGAGGTTGGTTCGATCTTGTTTACTGCCGTTGAAATAGATTGAATGAGTCACTGGAAGTCGCTTTTATCCGGTCATAATTTTCTAGACAAATCATACATGTCTCTGCAAACACTTATTCCTTCTTCTCCAGTAACTTCCGTTGGAAACTCAGGTTGTTGATGCCTGCCACCAAGCGGTCACAGCTGTTTTTCCCGAGGACCATCATAGTTTTAGCGTGGTACCTGTATGTTAAGCTGCACAATAAACTCACGGCAGGAGAAATGTTCAGCAAAAATCAGCAAATTGAATTTAACTCTCTCGTGTGCCTGGAAGGCTGTGGGCAGCTGATCGTTAAGCAGCGACGATTTAAGGGACTCATAGGGTAGTTTAGATGGAGCCTCAGGAAACGCCAGATTTTTCAAAAGAGAACAGAAATCGCAACCGCCTGCAGTGAGGGATAGAGCTGATTGGTTTTGAGCGCCATCTTTGCGAATGCTATACCACAGTTCCAATCGTTCGGCCCATTCCTCGATCTCAGCTGGGCTGGACTGCAAGTTCAGTTGCTCAATGGTTGGGAGCTCCATTAAGCGACGCCAATTAATAATGGTTGTCGTAATAGTAGTAGTAATGCACACTGAATTCGGAATTACGAACCACACAATCGGAATCACTCAATGCGAATCAAGGATTAGCAATCACGGACTGAATCACCTAAGCGCTGGACAGCACTAACACTAGCGAGCAACATCCCACGTAACTGAGACACGAGAAAAAAGGCCTCAGGAGTAGTAGTTCATTCATTGGAGGAAATAAAGAGAACTAAATAATATGTACAAAGTAGGCTCATAGGTTATCCGGGCTTCTACCAACCGCGTGTCAGTATTGTTTTCGTCGTTCTGCTTCTGTCTGGGCCGCACGGTCTCTGATTAGCTGGTAGGATCTACCTATTATATTTAGTCAGAAGCAGTGATACGTAGGCGCGTTGTGGATGGCACACGTGAAGTTTGATTGATCGCTGTTGTCCAAAAACTTAACACGTCTATCCAGGAAACGCGCCATCTCGTAGGTCCGGATCAACACAGTTGATAAACTGCAATCTAGGTTAATCGATAATTAATTCTTTTACTGCAAGAAATCGATACCCAGTATTCCAGTGGGAACATTCACAAGAATGAACATCCTTGGATACCGCCGTTGCCTTCGCAGAATGACCGTCAGTTGTTCTAAAGTTAGGAATGAGATTATTATTTGCAGCGCTTAGCTGAAGCGTCATAGCTCGTGGCTTGTTTCTACCGATAGGAAAGACTGAAACTTGGGCTCCCGTATCAACGAAGGACCTAGTTTTCGTGTGATAATTACGTAAAAACAACAGACGGCCAACCTGGGGAGGCGGGCCGGCGAGTACGACCGCTTTTACTTGCCGGTTAACCCTTTTACCGTCGCGTAGGTGCGGGGTTGCATGCAAGTGCATGCTCCTGGTTCATAGTTACGATGTAACCAGCAGTAAACCTCGGTGGGGTCATCCAGGGCTTTGGGTGATTTGCGCTGTGGCGACCTCTGAGTCTTGGTTGCTTTTGGTGAATGTGGGCAGGGTGTGCTACCCGTTCGAGCCTAGGCTTAGCCATATAGAGATTCAAAGTGGGCACCGGGACTCTGTCCTTGAAGGACAGGCGTTGATGTATGCATTGTGGTCATGGCTGTGAAGGCCGAACCGCATACCAATACCTATTCCCCTTGTGTGTTTTTGATGTCGTGGCAACGAGGAAACTATCCCCACTACTGACATGTGCAGCAATTGCTGCAGCTTTGTCGATCGAGTTCCTCCACCAAACAGCGCAACCACCCGCAGATCCTCTCCTGTGTGCTGATAAATCTTCGCAACATCATAAACAAGAGAGAGGAATTGACCGATACCCTCGACACCGTTGATCTGTGCGTCCTGAAGGAAACTTGGTCGCACGAGAAAGTCGAAATCGGTGACTGGAGCCGCAACTTTCAGCATTACCTCTCCGACCGAAGTAACCCACTTGTTGGAGGTTGCTTGCTCATTGTGCGGCAAGTTCTTCGTCGGACAGCGATGCAATTGATGGCTAGATCAACAAACATCCTATCAGCAGTCTGAATACTGCACGTGAATCCCCCCGTTCTAGCTTTCGGGATCGATCGCCGCCCAAGCTCGTCACACCAAGAACATAGAGAATTTCTTCAGGCCTTGTGTGAAGCTGCCAGATCAGGATACCGCCTCTTGATTCTAGATAAATTCAACGCCCCCAATGTCAACTGGGCACAACAATCATGTCGCGGAGATGGATTTGATATGGATCTGCTCAGCACCATATCCGATCAACCCCCCACGCAGCATCTGATGGTACCTACCAGGATCAGATCTGGACAATTACCCTCCATTCGCGATCCCGTTTTAATGAGGAACGTCAATGACGTCGCGGGAATAAGGACCGAAGTTCCCTAAGTCAAAAGTGATTACTCGCTGGTGTACTTCAAATTTCATAGAGTAGAAACCCACGAAGCCCAAAACTTGAATCAGAAGATTCCACAACATCAACATTTATGCCTTGGGCAACGGAACGGGGGGACTGTTCTGGGACAATCTGAGCCCAATAGAGGAAACCTGAAACCAAATGGGGGACAACATCGAACACCTCACAGAGGTCTACGTGCTTATAAAAACAAGGATAAGAGAACACAAACCTTTGTTCCGACCCAGAGTCCTCCGAGCGCTTAAGAAGAAACATCGGGTATGAATGGCGTTCAACAGACAGTGAAGCCCCCTGCTCTTTGCTCGCTTTAAATGACTCTGCTATAAAGCCATTAAAGTAGCACAGGTGGATAGACTTAAGTATGAACCAACCATAGCCAACGAAGCCTGAAAAAATCCCAAAAGATACTACGGCTATGCTCAAGCCTGGTTCTCCTCAGGAAAAGTGATAAGCAATGCCCTCCAAAATAATGGACGACTCTTGACCGCTGATAAGGAATTGCCGACTCATTCCTCTCTTCATTCTAAGATATCTTTCGCCTGGATAGCTTGAGAAAATGTCCAACCTTCGGCCGATTGAGCGACATGTCAGATCTGGTGCTCTCTACACCGATTCTGCCTTCCTGCAATCTGAAAATTACTCCTCTTGCTTTATTAGCA